TAAGAGCAGCCAGAGAGGACAGCTGACCTTCAAAAGACAACAGACAGGATTGACCTTTGAGAGTAACAGTGGAAACTAGCATTCAGAGGAATGATGCTTTCAGTGTCCTAAGAACAGATGACTGTAAATCCAGAAATCTGTTCACTGAAATATCCCCGAAGAGCAAAAGTGAAATGGACATTATATTTTAGACAAAAAGAGAGAGAGTGTAAGTTTGTCATGAATGATTCTGAAAGATGTGGTTCAGGAAAAAGGAAAGCCATTGTAAATGGATGATGAAAGATAACAGGAAGAAATGCAGAACAAAGAAGATGGGAAATCGAGGGGTAAAATCTAAAAGTCAATGACTATAGAAGAAAATGATGATAATGTTTTTTGTGCAGTTAAAAAATGTGAGCCCAGATAAAACCCAAATATATAGTAACATTAGTATCTAGCTTAGGAGGGAGAATTAAAAAATTCTTATATCTTTTAGGAAAAATGGTAAAGTTGACTCACTTTAGATTTTTTTTTTTTTTTACATATACATGTTAAAAATTTTAGGTTTAGGGGCAGCCTGGGTGGCTCAGCAGTTTAGTTCCTGCCTTTGGCCAAGGGCGTGATCCTGGAGACCCGGGATCGAGTTCCACCTCGAGCTCCCTGCATAGAGCCTGCTTCTCTCTCTGCCTGGGTCTCTGCCTCTCTCTCTCTCTCTCTCTCTCTCTCTCTCTCTCTCTCTGTATCTCTCATGAATAAATAAATAAAATCTTTTTAAAAAATTTTAGGTTTACCAGTAAAATAATAGAAATGGAATATAAAATATTTAAACCAGAAAAAAGGAGAAGTGGAATGAAAAATAATTAAGACTCCTTTGGGTCTCTTAGTATCTGATGGGGACAAGGTGTGATTTTGGGGAGCTCTCTTGGCCCAGTTTATGCTCCACCACGATCGTGTTTGGCGTCATGTTTGCTCCCATTCCTTACTTAAAGGCTTGAGAGACTTGAATTGTTTCCAGACTGGAGAAACCCTGGAAAAGATTCCTGCCGTTCCTGCAGTTACCTGCTGCTGATGTTAACAACTGCCATGAATTGAGGAGCCTCCAGGTGGCCACCGAGTGGAAATCTCCACACCTGACTGGTTGCGGTGACTGGCCTTGGGACTCTCTGGCTTCCTTAGCACTTGCCTGTAGGGGCCATGTAGCACAAACATGAAGTGTGTGGGAGTTACCACCTCTTGGAATGGGCTTCAACCAGTGAGAGGCGGGAGACAGGAAGATCTGCAGATTAATTGTTCTTCCTCCCCACTCCACTAAACCCCAAAGTTTCTTCTAAGACTCAGCAATTTCAGACTATCAGCGTATCCTGAGAGGCTGACCAGTGCTGTAGCCAGCTTGATTGCAAACCCTCTCATATTTGTGTTCCCTCTTGGCATGATTTACTTCCTTTTTTCTCTCTAGCTTCCACGGGGTTGCATCTCCTCCATAATAGAAACTTTTGCCTTAGGTCTTTTTCTAGTGAATTCAGGCTTTTAGACAACTGTCCATAAGCTGCATTAGCAAATCCTCCAAAAGCCCCTGAAATAAACACATAAACTAATTTTTTTTAAAAAAAGTATATTACCTGTGCAAATGCAGCCTTAAGGTGATTTCCTACTCCTTTCCCTGCCCCCAGTAAAATTGAGGCCATCTCCCGAGTGCCTTCTATATAAAAATTGTGGTGCAGTGGTAGTAGAAAAGGTAAGCACTGCACACAGACATCTCATGAGGTAAACTATGAAGTACTATAGGAGAGGTTCAGAGTGTATATGAGAAGTGGACAAGTGAGTCAAATATGGTGGAGCACAGAGCATGTTGGTAAAATAGTGGGAGGTTAAAATTGAAAGGTTGTCTTGAGGTCTCATTACCACAAACCTTGAAATGAATCAGTAGTTTGAACTTTAATGGATGACAGGAAATCATTAAACGTTTTAATCAGGGAGTGACAATCAGAGGAAACAACATATATATTGACATGTATAGATATGTAGATGTACATATATTTATACATATAGATATTTGAGCAAAAGGTTTATAAAAATATTTCCCCCTCAACATTATTTATACATGTAAATATTTTATATATATTTATACATGTAGATACGTATATTACCTATAGATTCATACAGATATTTGAGCAAAAGGTTTATAAAAATATCTCCCCGTCTACTTTAGAATTTCACCTTCATTTGGTTTTCTAGCTTTGTTTCCCTGGTAACCTGACAGATTGTCACTATGTTTCCAGGCAACATTACTCATGATAAAAAAGACTCTGTTAAAATGCATGTGCACTGGGAAAAAGAATAAATAAGCTCCAGAGACTTGGTGGGGAGGTCTTGATTGGGCCTTCCTGAGTACAGTAATTCTGGTAACTGGGCATCCCTCATGGGCATCCAGAAGCTGCACCCTTGGAGTTGTTAGAAGAGATGTCTCCTGTGGGACATGAAGCTTTTAAGTCAGGACAGCTCCTACACCTGCCCAACGTGAATCTTCTCTTCTTGTACCTAAATTACCAACTTACCGAATTACAAGGTGCTCCGTGAAAGAGGAATGTGTCACCCTTCCCTCTCAGCAAGCTGTGGTTTCTGTCCTTTGTAGGATGATGCAAAACATGACCTGTGTGAATGTTGAGCTGAATCAGACCTGAAGATCTAGTGGTTGAAAAGACTAAAAACTTAGAAATCATAAAAGTGATATGATTGACTTAAAAATTGTGAAATATAAGAATTGAAAAAGATACTAAAAAAATTCAGAAGACAATGTAAGAAACCCTTGCAGATCAGATGGCAGAAAAAGGGTTAATATTCGTACAATGAAAATATTGTTACTCGTTAGTAAGAAAAATATACATAGTGGAACAGGAAAAAAAAAGGCAAAGGGTAAGAATAGGCATTGACAGAAAAGCAAAACCAAATGGCAAATAGAAAATGAAAAGATGTTCAGTTGTGTTAGAGATCAAAGATTATTATACTACATCACATCCCACATCAAACTATTAATAAGAACACGTCTTGTGGGAGTTTGGTGACGGGATGGGATAATATACTAAAAGTAAAAATTCCCCTGCCCAAACCTATCCATTTTTCTGGAATGTTCTCATAATAATAAAAACATACTATGAAAGGATAACTGTATAAAGATGTTAGTTGAATTTTATTAGTGATGACAATGTGAATGCCCATAAATAAAGGGTGGATGAATAAAGGGTGGCTCATCCATTTCATGTACTATTTAGTAACCTTTAAAAATTATTTATATTTCTGTCAGTTGACTTGTCAGTTGACTTTAAAGTATTGGCATATATATGGGTTTATAATTCAGGTTCATTCTGATGGGGTAGGTGGGCAGTTGGTAGAGAGAGTAGGTAAAAAATGAGACGAAAAAATGACACTGGAAGTATATAATTCCATTTATATAGATTTTATATAGGTATACACACGAAGGGATGTGGTATGGTAGTATGATTACCGAAATATTAGATGGCTATCTGAAACTGGGTTCGAGGTGATTTTTGATGTTCTACTCTTGACCATTTAAAAATATGCTTGTATGTCTATGTTATATATCATAATTCATATTACATAATAAATACATATAAATATTACATATACATATGTATTTAAATAAAGGAAGGACAGGATAACTATTTCACAGGTTAGGGAATGAACCCCTTTGCTATGTGCCTTCTGAACCGAGGAGTACGGCTTGGTGCTTAAGAGATGCCTAAGGGCAGGTCGGGCTCTGATATATGGAGGGGCTTGTAGCTCTGTGAACTTGGGCTAATGGTCTAGGTTTCCTCATCAGTAAAATATAAACAACAGTAAACGTATCTCATAGGTTTGTGAGGACTAAATGTGTCCCTGCATGTAAAGTCTTAGAGCAATGTCTAGCACAGAGTAAGGGCTCAGGAATTGTTGGTGAGTAAAATGAACATTTGTTATTACTCCTTTGTAGTCCTATGCTTAGATATGTCATCAAAATATCACATTTAAACTTAGCAACCAGTTTTTAAGGCAGCCGTTGTAGGGGAGATAAAATGTCTCTTCTGTCCTCTTAGGGTTTCTCATTGGGAGTGACAAAAAAACCGATTAGCGGAAGTAAAGCACACAAATTTTGTTTAGTAAAATTTTACATGTACATGGGAGTTGCCGCAGGGAAATGGAAGATCCACAAAAGTGGTCAAGCATGAGTGCTTATGTACGAGGTTGAGCGTAGAGTGCCAGTTGTGGGAAATAACTAAAATATGTCGGGGAGAAGACAGGAAGGATTTTTAACATATTGTTAAATAGATTTCTCTTGGCCCGACTCCCCATCTCTGGTGATAAGGTATTTCTTTCCCTGTAGTATAGGGAGAGTGTCTCCTTCTGGGAAGAGAAAGGAAGGTAGAAATGTCCTTCCTGCATCTGTTACTCAAGTGCCTTTAACTCAAAATAAGATGCCGAAGTGGCATATTTTGGGGAGGCGTGTTCTGAACCCCTTCACTAGGTACAGTCCTCATTTTACACGCAAGGAGACTGAGACTTAGAGAGAGCTAAGTAACTTCCCGAGTCTTCACTTCCTGATTTGAGCCCATGTCTTAGCGTAGAGCCAGCAGCACTTGACATGCTTTTTTCCACATACTGTGTACCTTCTTTTATTTAAAATGAAAATGTTCTGTCCCAGTAACAGCACTTGCTCCTAAGAGCTTTGTGGGGAGCACTGTGGGTTTGAGGTGTTGGTTGTGTAGCAGCACATCGTTAGGAATCCATGACTACATTTGGAGGAGTAACTGGGCTAAGCTCCGACAGGCTGTGTAGGCATGACTACTGTGTGTTTGTGTGTGTTGCTGTTTTTAGAAGCAAAGATAATCGTAATATTTCCCTTTGTACCCTATTTCTGCATAGTTACGATGAATTGGTTTCTTTCTGAAATTTATTTGCTCAAAAAAAGTAGGAACTTAACAACTCCATTGTATCCATTTTAAAACTTTTTATTCCTTGTTATCTAGGTTATCTTCACTGTAACGAATACGATGGCCTGAGATTCAGGTGGCTGAAGCAGACGTTAGAATCTTTCATCCCACAGCCGTTGGTAGATGTAATTAAAGTGTCTGAATTGGACGGCAGAGACGTGGGAGATGCGCAGCCAGGAACGTTTGACAAGGTACTGTTATTACACTGTGACAAACTGACGGGCTCCCAGTGGTCCCGCTGTGACGTTGCTTTGTTGATGTTGTTTTCCATCTGCTTCCAGACACAGCCTGGTGCAATTTCTCGGTGCTCTGGGAAATTTTGATAAAGTGAACGAAGAAGCGGTTTTTGCTGGATGCTCAGCATGCTTCAAAGGAAGCAGTAGCATTGGGATTGGGGATTATTGTATGTTTTCTTTATTTCCAGGTACCTCAGAGATACTCAGGAAAAGATCCGGTATTATTTGGGTCAATGCACAAACGTAGACACTATATTGCGTTAGTTCGGAAACACTTTCTATCTGAGTATGACAGTTGAAGAAAAAGAGAACATTTCAGCAAACCAGAATTGAAATATTACTTCTCAAAAATAAATGCTGAGAGTTCAGAAATATGTTAATGTCTGTTTAAAATGCGTGACTTTTATAGAAGCTTTTGCTGTAGTCGTCAAGAATATGAAATATGAGTAGACATTAGTAGACTTTTGGTCCTCCTATTCCCTCTCCCCGCCAAAAAAACAAACCTTAAAAGTGTGCAGGAAATTTTCATGTAAAGTATTAGTGAAGACATGTCATGAAGAATTTATAATGGTATATTTTTGATTTTGAAAGAGATGTCTTTATTAGCTGTTTTTTGTCATGTTTCACATGACTACTCCATGTATCTTGCATCTGAGACTGTGTCTTCAGTGCACATGTGCATTATCTATCCTTTTTTCCTCTAGGTGTTAGTTGATGCTCCATGTTCCAACGATCGGAGTTGGTTGTTCTCTTCAGATTCTCAGAAGGCAGCCTGTAGGATAAGCCAAAGGAGGAATTTGCCTGTTCTGCAGATAGAACTCCTAAGGTGAGGGCTATTCATCAAACAGTTTATTCTGGTTTCTAATGACACGCCAGGACACAGAGAATTCCCCAAACAGAGGGTCTCTGTGTAGGAGTTGGTAACTATTCTTCCAAAAGCTGTATCCAGAAAATTCTTGACCTCTTTCCTTTCAGCCCTCATGCTGTAGGCCCTGCGGCCCCCTCCTCCGCCCCCTCAGTGAATTGTAGTACTGTAGTACCATTGTCTTTTAAGGAACACACGTGATTTTACTGTGGTTTAAAGTTATTTGCATATCGGGACCATCTCAAAGCCAGGGCTCAGCACCCTATTTTTTAACCAGCACCTGAACAGTGCCCCACATCGTAGCTTTGGACCAGGAGGTATTTTTTTGGTAATGGATACATTGTTCTAAATGAGTCAGCCTTCTAGGAAGTCGTAGTTCATTGTTAGCACTTATCTCCCTTCAAAGAATTTTCCAGAAGCATGTGACCACCAAGAGATGCATTGTTTTTTGTTTGTTTGTTTGTTTGTTTGTTTCCAAACAGAGGCATTTTGGGACATTCTTTTCTGGTTTCAAAAGAGATTTGTACTTACACCCTACTCCCAAGTAGTTCATGTTGTTTAATGCAGAACAAAAATTATCTGGAATATTTAAACTATAGTTTAATGATGCATTACACCTGTTACCTCTTACATGTGGAATGAGAATGACTAACATTTCTTACGCACTGCTGACAACAAGGTTTATGTCCACCTTCCGACGCTTGCACAACAAGGAATACATGTCAGTACCTAAGTATTATAGTCAAGTGCTGTGTAGTCTTGTTCTTGTGCTAAATAATGAAATCAGCTCATACGGCTATTCCAGGTAGTGCCCACGAGAGGCTTCTTCTAAACGTTACCTATCTGGCAGTTAAATTGTTTATATGCTTCCAGTGTCAGCCTTTCCTCTACCAAACCCTAAGATGTTTTGAGAATTTTATACCCCTCCCTGCACCTCTTGGGTTATTAGCTTTGGCATGTTGCATACATCCTGCTATAAGACTTCTTTCTCATCGAAACTTTCTTGATCTGGCTTCTTAATGATTCGAGCTACTCTGGGCCTTGCTGTGGCTATACCTTATAACAGACAGTAAGTTTTATGATGGTTTATTAGCATCGCGTCTTCTTTTTTTTAAAAAATACCGATTAAATAACCAGGCTTTCCAAGAATACCATTTTTCTTTCTTATGAAAAATCCTCCTTCACCTCTTTTTTTCACTGTTCATTACCAGGCTTTCTGTTTTTTATTCTATCTACTGCTTTCCCTCCCATTTTGTCTCAATTCATTGTAATCTGTTTTCTGTTCCCTTTATTTTCTCAAATTTATGCTTGCTAAAGTTACTAAAGACCCATTAAATTGATAAATATTTTTCAGTTTTACTTAATCTCTGATAGCATTTTTATTTTTATTTTTTTTATTTTTTTTTAAATAATTTTTTTTTTTTATTTATTTACGATAGTCACACACAGAGAGAGAGAGAGGCAGAGACACAGGCAGAGGGAGAAGCAGGCTCCATGCACCGGGAGCCCGACGTGGAACTCGATCCCAGGTCTCCAGGATCGCGCCCTGGGCCAAAGGCAGGCGCCAAACCGCTGCGCCACCCAGGGATCCCTCTGATAGCATTTTTAGATGTATTTTATTATATAACTATTACATGAAAACATTTTCATTGTAAAAAACTCAATAAATATGAATCAAAAGGCCCCCTTTGCCATGGACCCAACCAAATACCAGCTTTCTTTACTGAGTTAACTGTTGTACACTCTTCCAGACTTTTTCTATAGCTTTTTTTGCTATCATGTGCATAGAGAAATACATTTAAAAATAACTGCTATCATTGTGTATATATTGTTCTGAAACTTGCTTCTTTTGTACTTAATTCTTCTTAGTTTTTCCTTGTAGATATACTTTCTTCTCTTCAACTTTTGCAAACTATTAAGTAGTGTCAGTCTGTCATATTCTATTCAATCCTCTATTTTTTGGATACTTACATTATTCCCTTTTTTTTCTTTTACAAACCATGCTTTGATTTATCTCATTGGACATGAAACTAACATTTTTCTTGACTAAATATCAAGAAGTGGAATTAAGGATCAAACATTTAGGTGTATTGAATTTTTCTCTAAAATAGCTATACCAGTTTATACTTTATATTGCATTGGACTTTTGTTGACTGCATTTTCCCTCCTTTCTTTTTTTTTTTATTTTTTTTTAAGATTTTGAGTGGGTAGAGGAAGAGGAGAGAGAGAATCTTAAGCAGATTCTATGCTGAGCTCAGAGCCTCACGCAAGGCTCCGGGGCTCTGATCTCACCACCCTGAGATCATGACCTGAGCTTAAAACCAAGAGTTGGAGGCTCAGCTGACAGCCACTCAGGTGCTCCTGCTTGTTCCTTTTTATAATAATATTCTCTTCCTCTGATTTTTGTGATAATATGTTTTTCTGATTATCTTCCTACTTATTTTCTTAATTTACTCTTAAGCAGCTTATCCTATAGTTTCTGGGTTTCCTTAGGCTGCTGATGTTGGCTCTCTTCTCTCTTTATCTGATGGCTTCAACTCATATAACATGCTGTCTCCCACATATGTGTCTAAACTCCCTAGCCCCAGGCCTATATATTCAGTTATCTATGACATATCCCCATTTGGAAGCCCCCGGGACACATAAAACTTAATTTGTCAAGAAGGCAACTTATAATTTCTAATGCTTTTCTGTCCTCTCCAAAATCAACAAAACAAAAAATCAGATAGAAACTCCATTATTCTACCTCTTTTTTTTTCCCTCTTCTGTGTCTCAGTAATTTCCCATACCATCAGACATTTGCCTACGTCAGAAACCCATCTTCAGCCCCCCGCTTTCTTTTATACTCAGTCTGTCGCTAAGATGCTTCAGTTGTACCTGTTACATATTGCTCAAGTCCATCCAATTCTTTTTTATTTATGTATTTATTTATTTTTATTTTTTTTAGTCCATCCAATTCTATCCACCCTTGATAGCTGAACTAAGCCACCAGCATCCGTCATCTGAATCATTGCAGTTGGCTCCTAACTGCTCTCCATGTCTCCGGGTGTGAGCTTCACTTTACTCTTCACAGTAAAGCAAATCTGATGTGAAATGTGAACCTGATTGTGTCATTCTCCTTTTTGAAATCCTGCGGTGGTTCCCATTACCATTAAAATTTCAAATCCTTTAGTATGATATTCAAGTCCTCTCTGGATATGGTTCCTTCTTACTTCATTTGCCTCGTCATCTCAGGACTTCTCTTGCATTGTGTTCCATCTGAGCAGTTCTTCAGACTCACCTTATGGTGTCATTTCTGAGGTTGGTGCAATTCCTCTTCCTTTTGGTTAAGAGTTGTTCTTACTCACCCTCCCCTTTCTCTTGGTTAACTCCGGATTTTTTAGGAATTAGCTTTGACATCTTATTGAAGCCTTACCTGACTCCCTAGGACTAGGATTGATATTCTCTTCAGTTCCTTACTTTCATTTAAAAATATATTGTCAGTCCCTTTGCTTAATATTTGCCTAGTACTTATCTCTCTCTTCAACAAGACTGTTATACCCTTGGGAACAGGGATAGTCTTACTCTTTTTACTGCTAATACATAATTTGATGTCTGGTACATAGAAGGAGGTCAGTAATTGTTTAAAAACACTAAATTACAAGGGCTGAGTATTTAGAATTTAAATCTGTAATTAAATTTATAGCAAAGTTAATCTGCCAAAAATGATATAATCACAGTTGTGTTACATAGTCATTAAGCATAAACATAAAGCATTTCCATTATTTATTTCAATTATATCGCTTTTATATAACCAAAGCTTGGTTTTAGTTTCAGTTTAGTTTTTTTTTTTTTCCTCAATTAACAAATTTCTCTTAACATCATTTAACATTTCAGTCATCATTGTGAAGGTCAGGCATTTATACAGACCTCACATAGGCACCTACTTATGCCCTAACAACTACCACTCCTCCTCTCTCCCATCATCTTATTCCCCAAAAGGAATGACTTTAGCCCTGTGTCATTTAAGTAGCATATTAACAAGGTGGAAAACTGACACCTCAATCACTACAGGTGTACATTATCATGAAATTAGTTGGAGAAGATCATCACCCCAGCCATCTCCTAGTCTTTTCCTTGAGCAGCTGCTCTCCATTTCCTGTCCCTGATGCTTGGTCTTGTGAGGAGATTTGGGAGCACCAAAAGTAGTTAAACTCTGGGTTCCTTGGCTGTGTAGTTGTTATGATAATGGGGAAAGAGTGGGATACCCAAGCAATAGTAGGCACAGAGAATGGTTCTAATTCCCTAAGTCTGGTGGCTGAAAAGATGAAGAGAAAAATGATAGTGTGAGCCATAATTTCTCTTTTATCTTATGTCCCTGACCCCAGAAAGTGGAAATATATATATATATATAAATTTTCCCATCAAGGATAGCTCTGTCACTCACACACAGAGAAGTTTCGTACTTTCTTTTTTTTTTTTTTTTTTAGAATAACAAAAAATGTTTTACTAAAACATAAGATTTACAGAAGTTTCCAGACAAGCCATACCACAAATGGTCACAAGCTTTTTCTTGAAGGAAGGATTCTACACTTGACAGCAAAGTCACAATGTTATTAGTGAGGGCTGTGATGTTTGTTTAATGTTCCCATTTTGGTTCAGATAATCAAGCTTGTCAATCTACAGTGTCTCAATAAAGTTAGACTTGGCTAGAGAGCATACTCTAAAGAACTGGTTAGCTGCTTTTAACCGATGCAATTAGATCACCATTAAAAGGGGGAAAGGAGCCCATAAAATTAAAATAAACTACCTCTCCCCCTCAAAAATAATAATAAAGAAAAACACCCACACCCCTGCAGCTAACCCTGACAACTACCTTCATTCACAGTGCTTTATACAAACCATGATGGGGGGAAAGGAATAAAAGCAGAGAGGGGCCACTGCTTTTAAACGTTTCACAACAATCCAGATGGTACTTCTAG